GTAACGGTGGAAATTTGTGCTTCTTTACTTCAGTCTTCTTAATTCAGCGCAATTTTGTCCTTTTGCACTTGAGGCATGACCTTGATTAGATGTTACAAACAGGATACTGGTGTTATCCCGAACGGCTTAGCAGTTTTGGAAGGTCTGCAGTCCTTAACGGGGCCGGTTTGTTGATTACCCTGGGGTTCAAAAGGGTTTTTCTAACAGAATTATAACTGTGAGGTAAAACAGGGGTACACTTGTCCGATGCCACGCTTGCCAAAAACCAGTTTTCATACAGATAAGTCTAGGAACTAAATAGCATATGTCATGCTAGCATAAGCCCCAGGCTAAATTCCACCTTACCTACTACTTTTCTACTTCTCTTTTTAGTCCCAGTACTTCAATTGTAAGATGAATAAAGCCCTGTTATAGGGTATTCTCGTTCTGACTCTTACAGCCATATTCGTTCGTCCTCTCCATCTCGTGTGCTTGCTACGGTCCTAGCTACTACAATTTATTCATCTTACAATTCCAAAATGGATCGATTCCTTAAGCCAGAACGATTCGATGCCGATCCAAATGCTCAAGACGCTTCTAAACAGTGGAGTCATTGGTTTCGCACTTTTGAAAATTTCTTGTCCAAGATCGATAACCTGAAACCGGATAAATTAAACGTCCTGACTAACTACGTCTCTCCGACAACCTGGGAATACATTAGTGAATGCTCCAGTTACAAAGAAGCTGTTAAATTGCTGCAAGGCCTCTACCTACGACCCAAAAACGAAATTTTCGCCCGCCATCTTCTGGCAACCTACAGACAGGAAGGCGGACAAACCCTCGACCAGTTTGCTCAGAAGCTAAAATCCTTAGCTAAGGACTGTGATTTCAAAGCCGGTACGGTAGAACAAAATCGCAACGATGCCATTAGAGATACATTTATCAGTGGCCCTTCATCAAACCAGATTCGGCAGAGGTTATTGGAACAGAAGAATTTGAACTTCCAAACTGCCTTTGATCAGGCAAGGTCACTGGAATTGGCAGAAAGACAGTCTCTATCGTATCAGAACCCTCCGACGACCTCATTCTCTGCCGCTACCAAGCCACGTGAAGCTTCGTCGAGTCCCATTAAAGAGCCTGATCTAGTGGCTTCTACCTCATTCCATAGCAAATGTTTCTTTTGTGGATACGACAAACACCGCCGTTCTACGTGTCCCGCACGCGATGCGTTATGCAAAGGTTGCGGTAAGAAAGGGCATTTTCAAAAGGTGTGCCTAACATCATGAAACCGAAAAGCCTCCTCTTCCGCTATGTATCCCACCATTTCCACCGTGGCATCAGCTGCTGTTCCCGACTGTCTTTCAAGAGCAGTGGTTAAATTACAAATAAATGGGACTACTTTTCAGGCCCTTATTGACACAGGTAGTTCTGAAAGTTACATTTCTTCCTCAGTGGTGCTCCGAAATAAGTGGAAGGTTCATAACTCTCGCACAAAGATATCCATGGCTACTACAGTCTTAACCAGCGCCACGCGAAGACATATTTTTGTCACTGTTAAACATAATGATACAATATGCGAGGAGGTCAAGCTATCGGTCTTGCTGAATTTGTGCGCCGATGTTCTTCTTGGACATGACTTTCTCCGAAACCACAAAAGTGTTGAAATCCCTTTTGGTGGACCTAAATCTACGTTCTCGCCTTGTTCTGTGGCTACCGCTTTCATCGAGCCTCCCCGTTTGTTTCCCAATCTGACACCAGACTGCAAACCTGTCGTTACTAAATCTCGCAGACACACCAATGTGGATGAGAAATTTATACGAGAAGAAATTCGTCGCCTTCTTTCTGAGGGTGTAATTGAGCATTCATTATCCCCTTGGCGAGCCCAGGTCTTGGTCGTAGCCAATGAAAACCACAAAAAGCGGATGGTTGTCGATTGTAGCCAAACGATCAACAGATACACACTTCTAGATGCCTATCCCTCCACCAGAATAGACGAAATGGTTGAACGTATTGCAAACTACGACACGTATAGCACTCTCGATCTCAAGAGCGCCTATCACCAAATACCCATCCGAGTAGAGGAAAGACCGTACACTGCCTTTGAAGCTTGTGGACGTTTATACCATTTTTGTCATATCCCGTTTGGTGTGACCAACGGAGTTGCGTGCTTCCAGCGGACCATCGACGACATAATTGCACGCGAACGCCTAAAGAATATTTTCGTCTACGTGGACAATATCACTATTTTTGGGAACGGCCTCGCGGAGCGTGATTCAACCCTTCAAAAATTCCTTAGCGTGGCTGAAAAGTACGGACTAACATTCAATGAGGCCAAAAGTGTTATCGCTACCAAAGAAATTAAAATTCTTGGTTACGAGGTGTCCAAGGGCAACATTAGGCCTGACCCAGATCGTCTAAGGCCTTTGCGTGAAATGGCTCCTCCACAAGATCTTAAGTCTCAACAACGAGCTGTGGGACTGTTCGCATACTACTCGCAATGGATATCTCACTTTTCGGATAAAATTCATCTGCTCATCCATAACAGAACTTTCCCTTTACCATTGAAGGTAATAGAAGCGTTTGATGCTCTTAAGGAGGAACTTGCGAAAGCCACAGTGGCCACCGTTCGGTACGATACCCCATTAATTGTCGAGATTGATGCTTCAGACGTCACTATCGCTGCCACACTGAATCAGAATGGCCGGCCAGTAGCGTTATTTTCACGTAGTCTATCTCCAAATGAGCGACATCATTCAACTATAGAGAAAAAAGCATACGCTGTAGTGGAATCCATACGCAAATGGAAGCACTTCCTCCTCTGTAATCATTTTAAACTCATCACGGATCAGCGTTCTGTTGCCTTCATCTTCGGCAATCAACGAAAAGGGAAGGTCAAGAATGGTAAGATCGAACGCTGAGGATTGGAACTGTCACCATTCAAATTTGACATTGTCTACCGACCTGGTAAAGAAAATCGAGCGGCGGACATGCTTTCCCGTAATTGCTGTGGCGCCCTACTAATCAGTAGTGTGGATTTGAAAGGACTACACGAGTCACTTTGCCATCCCGGTGTCTCTCGGCTTTCGCACTTTGTTCGAGCTCGGAATCTCCCCTTTTCGATGGAAGAGATTCCTAATGTCGTCACTAAATGTCAGGCCTGTTGTGAAGTCAAGCCCCGTTTCTTTAAAACACAAGGCCAACTCATCAAAGCCACCCAGCCGTTCGAACGATTGTCACTCGACTTCAAAGGTCCTTTTCCGTCGGCAACTCACAACCGCTATCTGCTGACGATTATTGATGAATATTCTCGTTTTCCGTTTGCGTTTGCCTGTCCTGATCAGACTGCCGGAACTGTCATTAAATGTTTGTGTCAGCTCTTCTCAATTTTCGGTACTCCTTCGTACATACACACCGACCGGGGATCGCCATTTATGTCGGATGATGTTCAGCAATTCCTTCGCAGTAAGGGAGTGGCGACGATGACGGCTAATAAGCCAGAAATGGTCATTCCGGTCTCCCTTGTCTTTGTCGGTACCATCTCATCTAGAACAACTCCATACAATCCCCAAGGAAATGGACAGGTTGAACGTCTGAACCAAACTTTACGGAGGACTATCTTGCTTGCTCTGAAATCACAAAATTTGTCCGTCACACACTGGGAATCCGTCTTACTTGACGCTTTATACTCAATTAGATCACTTTTGTGTACCGCCACTAATGCAACACCTCATGAGAGAATATTTGTCTACAACAGGAGGTCAACTACTGGCACTACTCTCCCCCTGTGGCTTACCTCTCCTGGCAGAGTTCTGCTGAAGAAAAGCAATCAACAGTCTAAGTTTGATCCGCTTGTTGAGGTGGAACTACTCCAGTGTAACCCCCAATATGCCCATATACGACTCAGTAATGGCAGAGAAGAAACGGTATCTGTTCGACTGCTTTCTCCCAGCGGTGAAAAGGACGTTGGTGATTGTCACCAGGAGGCGGCCACGCTGGTACCAGAAAATCTCTCCCCACTTTCCCCTGACCACCCACCCATTACCGAGCAAGAAAGTAGCACCGTTTCAACTGACGGACAGAATGATGCAACACCTGTTAGTGTACCGAACGCTGACGATGTCTGTATGCATAACCTTGAAACATTAAGCCAACAACAACAACGTGTTCACCCATACTGTCTTCGTAACAGAGACGCCTGAACTTTGCCCCATGCAAACTTTTTCCTATCGATTTTTGACATCTCGATTCTTCCATTTGTTGGCCGGGGTGAATGTCATGCTAACATAAGCCCCAGGCTAAATTCCACCTTACCTACTACTTTTCAACTTCTCTTTTTAGTCCCAGTAAGTCAATTGTAAGATGAATAAAGCCCTGTTATAGGGTATTCTCGTTCTGACTCTTACAGCCATATTCGTTCGTCCTCTCCATCTCGTGTGCTTGCTACGGTCCTAGCTACTACAGCATATTTGGCTGGATTTATTCCAGACCCCTCGATCGCGATAGTTAAATACCAAATAATAGAATTTTGCCTGTGCAAACCACACCATGTCTCCCTGATAGGACGTCATTCAGTGGAGTACTGGGTCCATAATTGCGGCTTCTGGCTCTGAAAAAACCTGCTCCTTTAATTTGGTCCAGTCTGAAAAGACTCTACACATTCAGACTTTGGTACCGGCATGTTCGCAAGGCACATGCCTACTCTTTACTGCGAAGCAGTCAGTGAGGGAGTAGCATATGCCAATGAAGAGCGATTCGCGCAGACCTTAACTAACGCAATTAGCCATAATGGCACGGGCCTTTGAAACAAACAGCCACCAATCAGTCGACTGCATCCCAAGGTGCAATCTAAACGGTAACTGACTGAGCCTGTCTATGTCACTACCACACAAGTGACTGACAGGTTGGGCCATGATTCACAACGCGACAGCAGTAAAGTGTGCGCCTGATCGGCTATCCCTAGATGACATGGAATTCTAGCAGCATTCACAACATCTAACAGCACTGTATACAAATAAGAGCACGCGTAAACTCGCCAAATGCTCTTCTGAATTGCTCCATGGGAATTTTCGCAACTTCAAATAAGAGTCGTCAATTCCTAACGATGTGTTCGTGTTTAGCACTGTATTTACACGTATATCATAAATAGCATTTAAGATTTTAGTGTCAAAAGCCTACGTGTAATTGTTTCGGGTCCCCAGGGTACGAATCATTTAGTGGCTCGAGCACCATAAAGCCGTTAATACCCCTTTGAGCTAGTATGATTAAAGCGGGGCGACTCCTGGAAATCATTATCAGTCAAAAGTGCCGATCACGTTTACATAATTCAGATCGAAAATGTATGCAATACTAAATGACGAGGAAGACAAGTATCTCAAGACCATAAAAAATAATTCGAGGTAACCGAAATGGCGTTCAAAATAGGGCAGGTAGGAAGTCCAGAGCAGCAGTAGGTGGCGGACTGAACGGCCTTCAACGGGAAACCCCCTACAAAACAGCAAGCTCCTGAGCCGAATACTATGTGGTAAGAATACCAGCTTGTGTGGTTGGTCGCCGACATGGCAAGTCGGGGACCTAAAAAAACAAGCGTAAGGGGAAATGTGACCTGACGAGTACGAAATAAAACCCCGCGGGAGGTCCTACGCGACCGTAGTTGTTAAGTCGGACGGGAATGTAGACCTCGTTTGTGTCTCGAATCTCGATAACGATGAAGAACAGGGTCCCCAAACATTCACCGTCCGCAACACACTAAAAGGAAGGGCTTTTGGACGCGGCACGCTAACGTGACTTTCTAAATAAACAAAAAATTAACTTTAAGAGCTATTCAATATATTTCCAGGCGGGTAATTTTAAGGACGACTAGTATAATGGATGGGCTTGTTGTTGAGGGGAAATAAACTAGAAACGTGACTCCACAGTCGACAAGCTGACATGAATTCCACCATGACCTATTTGAGGTCGTCCTTATCAGATTTAATTTTGTGTCGGGACGAACAATCGTCATTTCCAAAGATACGAAGGTCTATATAGCAGCGAGGACTTGACTGCCTTTCAATTAAGTGGCACTGGCTCCGAATTGGCATTTAAAATGCGTTCAACGTTTGATCATAAACGGCATCTTGTGAATCCAGTCGACCTTCCGGTCATCTGCATTTTCTTCATCGGCCACTGTCAGACATGTAGTTTCGTAGTTTACAAATGGATTTATGACCCACTCACGCTCTTCTATTTCAAAAAGACGACCGGTAGAGGCGAACAGGCGAGTTCCAGAAGGCTGTTCAGAAGAAGAATAATAGGAAGTAAATGAATGTCGTGCCAACATAAGTCCCTGGCTAAACTGCATCTTACCTACTATTTTTCTATTTCTCGTTTTAGTTCCAGTACGTCGGTCGTAAGATAAAGCCCTACCACAGGGTATTCTGGCTCTGATTCTTGCATCCTGATTTGTTCGTGCTTTTCTTCTCGTGTGCTTGCCGCGGTCTTAGCTACAACAATTTATTCATTTTACAACTCCAGAACGGATCGATTCCTTGGGCCAGAACGACTCGATATTGATCCAAATGCTTAAGACGCTTCTAAACAGTGCAATCATTGGTTTCGCACTTTTGAAAATTTCTCATCTACGATCGATAGCCTGAAACCGGATAAATTAAGCGTTCTCGCTACCTACGTCTGTCCGACAGTCTGGGAATGCATTATTGAATGCTCCAGTTATGAAGAAACCGTCAAATTGCCACGACATCTCTACTTAAGACTCAGAAACGGAATCTTCGCCCACCATCTTCTGGCAGCCTACAGACAGGAAGGCGGACAAACTCTCGGCCAGTTTGCTCCAAAGTTAAGCTACTTAGCTAAGTATTACGATTTTAAAGCCGTTCCGGTAGAACAAGATCGCGACGATGCCATCAGAGGTGTAAAGGAATTTGAACTTCCAAACTGCTTTTGATCAGGCAAAGTCGCTTGAATTGGCAGAAAGACAGTCTCTATCGTATCAGAACCCTCCGACGACCTCATTCTCTGCCGCTACCAAGCCACGTGAAACTTCTTCGAGTCCCTGTTCTGGTGGGCACTACTTCATTCCCGGCACCGCCATTCGATGTGTCCCGCACGCGAGGCGTTATGCAAAAGATGCGGGAAAAAGGTTAGTTTGAAAAGCTGTGTCTTGCATCACTAAACCGATGAGCCATCTCTTTCACCAGGCATTTCCGCCGTGGCATCAACCGTAGTTCCCGACCGTCTTGCCAGCGCGGTGGTGGAATTACAGATAAATGGGACTACTTTTCAGGCCCTAATTGGGACGGGGCGGAATGTTATCAGAGGAAACACCCATGACCGTCATACTGTGTTCTTTAGTTTAGTCTTTTGAACAGAAGAACGAAAACGGTGTGATAAAGTAAAATTATTAACGACAATCAAGCAAAAACGAACCTGAATAATAGATCCCTAAAAAGAGGCGAGAGTTCAGTTATTTGCACGTCAAATTTACGAAACCAATTGTAACTCCGATTGTAGGTCGAATAAAGAATATTGTTTTGTATTGTGGTGTGCAGTTCCTTTGTTGAAAGGTAGTTGGGTTACGGCCCTTCCGACTTCGATTGGGTTCACCTAGACCCTTGTTCGTCGACTGCGATTCCTCGACAACGTACGCAAATTAGCCATTTCGAATCTTAAGTCATTTTGGCCGTTTATGAAATTTCCCTTGAAAAGTAGAGAGTTGTTCGAATGAGAAGACACTTTTTGATCACGGATCCAGTGTAGTGACCTCGGCCACTACGCCAGGTTAGAGACGGTGTGACTACGTGTCACCGAACTTAACTGGTGGCTTGTCCTCATATTCCCGCCGACCTCCTTCCCGCCGTTATTGCAGTTACCGTTCCGTATTTCCCGCTTCATTTAAGACACTTTCCATGGCCACACCCCG